ACACGCCTCGCTCAAAACAGTACAATCTGGTAATGTATTTTTTAGCCTTTCACGGGGACATCGCGCGACTGGCGAGGCTGCAAGGCCGAAACACGTGTATTGCACTGAATAAGTGCCGATAAAAAACCTCATGAAAGGCTTACAGCATAAATTGTCAGATCCGTTGTGCTTTGAAAATCTGAGTGTGATTAGTATGTTTTTTAGGCAGCACCTGCCCATACGACTATAGTTGTCAATGGTCGGTAATGAATCAAAATTATCAGTGTTGTGGAAGCCAGTTCATTCCTCGAAGCAAATCCATTTCAGAAGGTAATCAAATGGAATGGCGCTCAAAGTCAACAGTTCATTCACTAATAGATTCACATTTAGATTATGGATGTCCACGAAAGCAATTTGCACTTCTGAACGATCGTACAAATGAACCACGTCTATGCACTGCGGGAGAGGTGACTGGGAGACTGAACCTTCTAAAACTTTCAAGTAATTTCGAATCAAGAATAAAGTACTAATGAATTTGAAAGCAGTAAGAAATGTAACTTGGAAATTGAAAAGAACAAACAGTATGGTACCGAGAAATAGTTGATGCAACTCAATATCTATCACATCATTTAGAGAAATTCGAAACTACATTCAAAGTATCGATAGAATTTGGGAGAGAAAGTGACGCGACAAGTTTTGTTTCATTATCAGTGTATCATCTCTGGAACTTTCAGCAAGGCTATAGCTGTTAGAAATCGTTCTTTTTTTCTAGGAAAACTCTTGTCCGATTGGTTTTTTCTGTCAGTTTTCAAGGAAAAAGTCACAGTTCCAGTGCTGCGGTCAAAATGGAGGTACACTCGCCATCTGTTCATAGCAATAAAATATCTAAAAAATATGAAACAAAACTGGGAAAAAATTTTCACATTGTTATTTATTACGTTGTTATTTTTTATATATTATTATTTAACATTAGCTGTCATTTGAGAGGGAACTCGTTTTCGTGATTGGTATTAAAAACAATCTTCTTTGTGCAAAATCATAAGCAAAAGAGAAATTTGTGTGGGATTTCTTGTAGAATAGTATTGAACCTGTTCTTCAATGAATCCATTCCTTTTGATTGAGTCAATCGTTTTAGACCATAATTTTTATGAATTTTCCGCTTATGCGAGGCACTAGACATTAACACATAATGTAGATTGCTTGCAAGAGAGAGAACAGAGCAATTGACGTTCCTATTTCTTTTTATCTATTCTGTAGAATTTATCTTCACATACAGTGTGAAGGTGAAAACTTTTTTCACAATGAATTCGTTTCTTCTCTTCTATGATCCGCGAATGCTTTCATACTTCTACGCTCTGGTCCGGTATCCGGTTGAGAATTTTGGCTCCGCTATGATTTTCGCTAAATATTGGTCAATTCTAATCTCAATGTATTGTGAGATAGCTAAGTTAGAGCGATCTATCGTCAACTTAAGTTGATCCGAACACAATTAGATTTTCTCAATACCGTAGGGCTTGCTGGCTTCGGTGCTAGGCTAAATTAGTGCCTCGCCCATATTACACCCTGTCATTACTGCTAAGCTGACCATCTACGTTACAATGATAAACGAAATTTTAGTATAATAACTTCGATTTTTGTCCCATTATATGCATTATATCGAATTTTGATGCAAATACTGTGCTGTACAGGATGCCCTGCCCGTCGTGCAGCCTACATCGCCATCGATGGTTTTGCCCAAGAATGCGTTCCTGGATCCGATTTATGTCTGGACGGTTATGAATGTGTGAGAAGTGTCTACGAAAGCGACAAGAACATCTGCTGCACCAAAGAAAACATTGGTAGTGTATCCCTAAACTCGTCATTGATACAATTTTTCCGAGTTTCCAAATGCATTCAGCTGGGTTCGAGAAGGGCAAACTTATGTAAGTAGTCGTTAGCGACTTAGAGAAAATTTAACGATGAGGTAAATGGCCAGAAAAATACGATAACATCAAAAATTGAGCGAAATCGTTCTTTAATATTTTGATAATTACTATTTGAGAATGTGAGAAGGATGAGAAGCTTGTGGATGGACGATGTGTACGGCAAGTGAACGTAGGAGGTGTTTGCCGTTCAGACGAAGAATGTACAGGAGGCAGCATATGCAAAGAAAACATTTGCGTGTAGGTTATTTTTCATCTTAAGGAGTTTCTGAACGGGTCGATCAATATAGTTTGCAAATTGTCGCAGTGGTAGTAATTCGACTCAGGGAAGTTCGTATACTTAACAAATTAGCGCTGATGAAGTTTTTTTGTCCGATAAAAGAGGAAAACTGGAATGACTAAAAATCATTCTGCGGTTTTCAGATGTTTGCCTGAGCAAATCGTAGACAGAGGCAAGTGTGTGGAGGTTGTCTGCACATCGGATCAGGTGAGAACATTCAAACTTTGAAGAACAATGAAATTTGACTTTAACACATTGGCGTTCATACTTAATTTTATGTGGCAAATGCATGCAGCGGCATCCTCCGAGTTTCAACCTTACAATGTGTCGTATATGACTCATGCCGGCCAAAAGCCAGCAGAGAATTCGTTTTACTGGTTGAATCAAATAGACGAGTGAAGTTGAAAATACCGTGCAATAGTACTCGCATGGTGTGGTCCAAGAGCCTTATCACAGTCAATCTAACAAAAAGATTTCCATTGAGGTCCAGCATACATTATAATTTATAATGTGTAACCTCTTTTTGTGAACAGCTTAAATAAATAATTTTATAATTGTACCTTTTTGCATGATTTATTGACTGATTAGTCTTCTCTAAGCGGCGCTACGAGTTGTCGATACAAAAAGTGATGCCAGATGTGTATATTATGTTGCAACTCCTGTTATCAAAAAGAATGAATGGACCGATCTGTGACGTGGAGGCGACTCAACGTTGTAAACTCTGGAGCACCTCTCAAAGCCTGACGAAAACTGCAGCAACTATAATCACCGTGACTGTCTGGCGTAAATCATTGAAACATACCCAAAACTTCTCCTTAGATGATTGGGCTGACGCGAGGTAGTTGCAATTCAGTGTACGGTGTCTTCCACTCTTCAGAGCCGCGTTGATCCATTGAATGTCCATGCCGGTCCCTGTCGAATCGATAGGATCGTCCGGAGTAGTGCACTGCTCAAAGACGTATCTTGTTTTATTGAAGTCTTCTATGTAACCAAAGTATGTTATGAAGGGACACGTACACAACTAGTCGTTGGTTCGGTTCTTCACCTTGTTCTTAACAAGCTTCTCATTGCATCGGAGCCGGAGAAACTATGCCAGATTTAAAATTAAAGCATGGAGTACTAAATTTAGTACGTCTTTGATGTATAAATAATTCTCGGGAGTCCACCAATGTGAGAAAGTCAATATTATTATCTTCTCAGTGAAAACGTGTACCGTTTTGCATACCGAAAAAAACGGGAACCTTGGTGAGCTTGGGCGCCGGTTCGAAACAGCAGCCAAGTTAATGTGCGATACGATGTACTTCTACACGAGCCGTATCTAGTCATTCAAAATCATTGAGTATAATTGGTGAAGATGCCCTATCAACTCACCAAAAATGTATATCATTGTCAGGAGGAGCTGTTTTTCAATGAAATTTTCAATAAAACAATGTAATGAGCGATGTCAAAAGTACAGTGAGCACAGTTAAACATTGAAATTAAGCAAAAGAAGTATTCTAGATCAAACTGGAAGGGCGTTGCGTCAATCGTTCAACTATCGGAGAACCTTGCAGAAGCTCGCTCCAGGTGAATTTGATATTTAAACGTGTCAGAGATAGGAGAATAGAGGGGGAGATTGAGATAATTTTTGATAGAAGGTAGTGCAAGTGAATCTGTTGTGATATGATATCTACATGGCTCTAAGTGAACTCTTAAGTAAAAAATCATGTTATTCTCACTTATATATCCATTCATCCACTACATATGGACGTGTTTTTAAGTGCGTATCAGTACTGCGCTGCATCAACGGTCGGTGCAACTGCGGAAAAGGCAAAAAATTCGATGGCAAAAAACTGCGTGGAATTTGTCAAAGGTATACGAGCTTTTACTCCCCTAAATTTCGTCTGCAAAAGACAGATAACTCGGTTACCAAAATTTGAGTTCGGACGACTATTGTATGGTGTTAATCACCCTTTTCACACTTGGCTCCATTTCACAGAGAGCACAACTCTAATGAGAGGATTAATTTGATCCACAGTTGCTGGTCTGACCCTAACTGCATTGGTATAATTCAGATTAACAACCAATATTCTCCCTAGTCAGCATCACATTGCGATCAGTACTTATTTATGAACGGTAATCAGTAAGAACTCGGCTAACCACTTTTATTGAGATCGTCCTCGTTGTAACGTTCGATTCATAAAATAAAGAAAAGCTTGCGGGGCTCAGAAATTTAGTTTCAAACGCCACAACTAACGATGCTACGGATACTATGTGCCGTACGGCACGTAGAGTGTTAATTATTGAATAATTGAATTGAAAGATATTGTGACAATAAAGTGCTTTAGATTCACTGCAATCAAATAAATGGGTCTTTGAATTCACTGAATTGACAATATACGTGGACATATTCCATAGGTCTTTACGATGTGACATTAAATGCACGCAATAACTGACTGGAGTTATGATTTCAGAGACAATTAAAACTCGTCCCATTTTGCTACCGGACGTATGTCCATTATGGACAGATTACGCTATTATCGAGAAAGGCACCACTCGCTTAAGATGGTGTAATCTGACTGCTAATGATTGTCCAGACGGATACAAGTGCCAGTACAGTAAAATGGTGAGTGAATATCTCTATTAAAAACTCAGTTAAAGGTACGTGTTGCTAATAGTACAGCTACGAAACAATCGCAACATTTAATATTAGTGTTGTATGTAATCAACGAAGTTGCAAGTTTATCGCGTAGCTTTTGTCTCCAGTGACCATCAAAATATGAGTGTCTCTTTCCAAATATGGTCGCTATATACCTGAGAGAATTGAGTGGTGGGCAAAAATCCGATCTCAGGCGGGCGTTGAGCCAGCGTTTCACCCATACCAGGGGCGTGCGCTACCATTACACCACTGAGGATACCGCTTGTCCCTCTTTTAGTGGTGTAATGGTAGCACGCGCCTTCGGGATGGGTGAAACACTGGTTGAACTCCCGTCTGAATTCGCCCTTTCATAGTACAATATTCACCTCGTTACACTTGCTAGGCGTTCAGATATAAATTTCCTACGGCGTTTGCCAAGAGTGAATGCATTCCAGATGAGACAGAATATATGTTGTGGTAAAGATGAAATAGAGGAGAAACCAAATGCTTCATCAGTGCATGAAAACGGATCGCTCAATAATAGTGAGTTGCTTTATAGACTTCTTCTATTCTTGCCTGTAACAGATTATGCAATTTCTTCTCCGCCGATTATGGATAGATCACAAAATATTCAAACTTTTACTGTATAGAACTAGATGAATCACATTGTGGCGTGATGTTAACAGATTGGAGAAAAGTTTTGAGAAAATGATTGTAAAACATTTATCTATTACACACGAACAAAGACAAAACTTATAGTCAAAGTACTCCCCTTCAACTTCAGGCACTTTCTGCCACTTCTCCGGCAAAAAAATCGATTCTGAGCATAAAATTCCGATTTCTTGTTGTTGAAGTAGTGAACGACCGAGTTGTCAGAGAGCGCTTTTCCTCAATCGCTTCAAACACAGCTTGACAATCAACTTTTTTTGGACGACCTGAACGCGGCTGATCCTCCAAACTTTCATCAACTTCGTCAAACTTTTTGAACCACCTGTACACCGTAATTTTGCCAATTGCCTCTTCGCCCCAAGCCAGACTGATGCGTTCACTTGCCACCGTTGCATTTGAACTTAACAGCCATTTGTGCATCATTAACAACCTAATTTGCTCGCTTGTTGACTACATCTCGGAATAAGTAGATAAATTATATATCAATAAACGCGAGAGAAGACGAGCTTTCAAATGAGCTCAAAAACACAATGATGGCCGACACCCAAAAAAGTTACAAGCATTTTCGCATAACTTTTCCCCCAACCTGTTACAAATGCACGCCCATACTCAAGATTTTTGATTGAAAGATATTTAGAAGTTTTATTGTATAAAACTAGAAGAATCACATTGAGTACAAATCATGTGAACAGACTGAAAAATACTTTTGATAAAACAAAGTTTATTGTTAACTTTACGCGATTATACATTTATAGTTGAATTCTAGATTGTTCACTGAAACAAATCAGTGAATCAAATCGGCGAAACCGTCCAGAACAATCATTAGCAAACTACTATCCAGATTTTATTTGTTTAGTTTTTACTAGTGTCTAGTATCACGCAGGTGAATATGCGTCCTCTTTCCTGAAGAAGAAGCGAGAACTGCTGTGCTTAGATATTTCTATAAAAAAATAATCAAGAGCAGCGCTATGCCGTTTTGGATGTAATTTTAGCTTAGATAATGATGTTTTACAGGCTATTGTCCTCTGATATTTCTATATAAGAAAATACAAGAGCAGCGCTATGCCTTTTTGAAAGATGCTGTTTTACAGGTTATTGTCCTCTAACAATGATTCCCTACCTGCTAAACGGCCAACCAAAATCTTGCCTCTCCAGCACGTGTCCATACGCTTTTCAATGCAAATTCTCACGGTCAAAAAAGAACTACTATTGCTGTGGGGAAGTAGTCAAGATCTCTAACCTTCTTCGAAAAGGTTAGTGTACAACTACTGCGGATTCAATAGGTAAAAAAGCCAATTTATTCTTTTATAAGCGTTTTTTACCTATGAATTGCAAATTTTCCAGACATTCGCAACACATTCATCTTCTTTTCAATAATTTCTTGCCATACACAGCTTCTTTACAGCATTTTTTATTCACTCAACAGCTTGTCATCCAAAGTAAATGTTACAGTCAGAATTTGTGTGCAATCAAATTTGAAAATAGATTGTGACTAGATTAGAAAAAGACATTTTGGACGAGTTCACTTTGCGGCAGCAAACCTCTGACGGAATATGAGCTACAGAGATTTTTTCCCACAAAAAAGTTCAGGAAAGTCTTTTCTGTCGTACTTAAGCACTAATATTCGACGCTTTGGGAAGGATTCCAGCGATGGTAGGATGGAAGTTTATCCACGAGACTTCTTCGGGGTGATCTGTTGTTCAAAGAGCACACCTCATCACCTCATCCTGCCTCTTGAAACAACTGCGAAGTCCTATGAGCGCACCTTCACTATTAGGTCTTCTCACAATATTGGCACTAGATCAATATACACCAAATTTTTTAATCAGATGATTGAAATTGTTTAGCAAAACTATGAAAAACGTACGCCATCAGCCTGAACACATTTCCGCTATCTCTCAGGCAGCAAATCAATAACGCGCTCATGGAACTCGTCATCCTTGGAGTTGAAGAAAATTGTCAATCCTCGACGCAAATGACTGATGTCTCGGAACTTCTTCTTGCTCAGGAAGTGGTCCAGCAACCGCAATGGGTGATAGCCAGACGGCGACAAGTCGCAACTGTATGGCGGATGATTCAGCAACTCCGAGCCCACTTTGGCCAACTTCCCCTTTGTCAATTTGGCGACATGCAACCTTGCGTTGTTTTGAAGCAGGAGGAGATTGCGACAACGTCGACGTGACAGGGTCCGACTTCAGCGTTCCAGATGCTCTTTATTTGGATACATATCGTTGAGCCTTTGTACCGTTGATGTTCTCGAAGGCGATCTTTCATTGAGTTCCAATTCGTACTCGTAAAGCAGCAAACTGCGATAAAGGCTTTGTTAAACGGTCATGATGGGTGAGTGCAGAGAAATGTGGTACCGATAGAAAACTCAGAAAATAATGCACGAAGCGGTATTCATTTGTTGCCTGGAAATTGGCAGAAATATATTCAGGCTGATGACGCATACTTTGAATAGTGTCGTTACGCAATTTCAATCATTTTTGATTTTAATTTAGTGTTTATCGCTCCAGTGCCAAAACTTATGAGAAGACCTGATATTTAGAACTTTAAGTTAAAACCTTATACATCAATTTACAATTTAGGCATAAATACAACCCTAATATACAAAACGAATCCTAAACAAAACTAGCAATCTTTACTTGAAGACTGCGTTTATAAGCAACAAATAATAATTTTTAAACAGAACAAGCTTGAACATATATGTAACACTGATGAACGATTGGCGCATAGGGAAAAATGCCTATGCGGCGCGCAAGATTAACGGAGCTTGGGGTGATGGTACGGTTGCATAAAGCATAGGTAGGAGTAGTTCGCGAAGTTAAAAGCTTCAACGAACAGTCTGAAGGATCAGTCGCGTTCGGACCGTGCACAGTATGCTCCATTAATCTTGAGCTCCGCTTCACAGACATTTCCCCTACTCGCCATTCGTGCATGATTAGCAGGAAGTTTGTTCACACGACAGCTCCATCCTAGAGCAAATATAGGTAAGTTGTATACCAAAATGTCCGCAAGAAAATGCGCATTTGAACGGTACCAACATCGTGCTATTCTAAGTACTTCTGGTTGAAAAATTTGGTGTTCATTGCTCTAGTGCCAAAACATATGGAACAACCTAGTAATTCACTACTGGTCCAAGTTAGAACTTTCAATAACCTATGCTCCTGAATAGTCAGAGGGAAGGCTATAGACTGTGCATGTCATGATGAGTTTCCATATCATTTCACTTCAACATCCCTATTCCCCCTGAGTCGAGTTGTGCTGTCTAGCGCTTCCTCTTCATTTACAGATGAGCTTTCTATGCTGGAAGATATTACTGATCACCTCACGGGTGCTACTGAAATAAATCGTTTTCCGCTGCGCTAAGCTCATTGCCGAAGGGGAACTTTTCTATGAGTTGATAGTTAACAGAGTGACTCACTTGAGGAAAGTTTGTTACAGGTACACAACAAAATTTCGCAAGTAAACCGCCCATACTGGACAATCTGAATTCCATATGTGCGCTCATTAGCCGGCATCGATGACAGTCTTCCTAGTTATGCTTTTAGAGAGCTAAACCGGCTGCACATAGTATCAAATGCAACCCATTCTATGACGTGAATCATTACCTATCAGATCCACTGATATCTTGTGTTTCAGCATTTCAACTCTTAATCGAAGCCTTTTCTCTTCCTGAAAAGTAGCGCTAAGGCATTTAAAACTTTGATACAACTCGCCCACGACATTCCTTGAGCACTGCTTGCTCCGCAGCTATAACACTGAAGCAATCTCCTCAAATACCAATCATTACACCCTTGTTGAAGCCGCTGGTTGCATAAACTTCCACTGTGATTGTCCTCGAACGAAGAAAATTAGCAATATCGTCGTACGACAATTTGATAACAGGACCTTTGTCATTTGCGGAGGAAACTTTCTCTCATAAGACCTCAGAGGCATTGGCTACGTAGTACACGCATCTACTTCTTACCTAATCAATCGCTAACATGGAAAAATCTATTCAAATCAAATCTTCGTTTTGCTGAACTTTATAGAGGACAAATAACTCTTCGACATTACTCTCAGCGTTATAGTCCGTCCAGACATTTTGAAAGTAATGAACCATAAGTTTTAGGCAGTACGTTCTCGTTTGGCTTCATCCCATCGAGGCTGCAATCGGCACGAGGATCTTCAAAGTAAGAAGTGCCAAGAGGCTAGTAGTTATGGGGTTTTTTTGCTGTAATGATACTCAGATTTTGCATGATTTCAGATTAACACCAAAATCCAATGGTATTGGTGATAAAAAGCAACAAAGGAAAGTGAGGTTCCCATCGCGATCGACAGTGAAACCTTGAGGATTCCGGACTTAGTTCCGCGAAAAAGCTGTTAATTACGATTTTGATATTTCCTTTGTGTTTAATGTCATTACATCTTTACTGGTGTTACCACGCTAGCTTAGGATCTTCAAAGATTGCAGAGATTTTGATAAATATATCAAGGGAATCCGCTATTGAATGAAACTTAGACTTCAACTGGATTACAACACCACTAGGGCATGTACCTGCTCAGTATCCTAACTTTTCCACTAAATTAATACTGTTTGTCGTCATCGGAAAAATAGCGTGTCCT